TTTTTTTTGAGACTGAGTTTTGCTCTTTTTGTCCAGGCTAGAGTGCAATGGTGCAACCTTGGCTCACTGCAACATCTGCCTCCTGGGTTCAGGGGATTCTCCTGCCTCAGCTTCCTGGGTAGCTGGGATTACAGTCTGGCTAATTACAGGCCTCCACCATGCCTGGCTAATTTTTTGTATTTTTAGTAGAGACAGGGTTGGTCAGGCTGGCTAGAACTCCTGACATCAGGTGATCTGCCCGCCTGCGCCTCCCAAAGTGCTAAGATTACAGGAGTGAACCACCATGCCTGCCTTTGTTTGTTTTTAAAGAGGGAGGCAGTAGAGAGGAAGGGAAAGGAGCAGTATCACCATTCTGGAGCCCTAGAATTTCTAGACAGACTCTCTCCCCATAACGTCCTGTAATTCTATGTTTTGTGACTTTCCCAATTTGGCACATAATCTGTAAGGGACAGAACTCAAGTCCACTGGACACTTTCCACTGTATCCCATGTGAAAACAGGTTGCTGGAAATGACATGGGTCTTGAGAAGCTGCCTTTCCTTCCCACACGTAGAAATGTGAACAAATAAATTATCACATGATCCCTTCACTGACAAATAAAGGTCAAACTTTATTGAGCACATACTACATGCCAGGCATTCTGCTAAAACTTTCCTCACATTAGCTTACTTTACCCTCACAACAACTCCAGGAACTCCAGTAGGCTTATAAAGCCCTTTTCTTCAGATAAAGAAACTGAGGCTTAGAGATCTAATATATTTTGCAAATATTTTAGAAGAATAATATGTGTACCCTAGTTGGTCCCCTGGTCGCCACTGCAGTCTGTGCAAAGCATTTGATTTTAAGTCACCCTTCCATATTGAGGATAACACTTCTGGTTGCCTAAACAATATCCATTCTTCTGTTCTTTGTTGTGAATAAGTGCAATACTTTAAGGGGAAACAAGTGGTGCAGACAGTTCTATAGAAAGGTAACGTAGAAAAAATATACAGTAACTATATTATTAATTGCCTGCTTCAAAAATGGTACTTTAACCTCAGTATTTTATAGCAACCACAAGAGAGTATTTCACTTGATTGTGGACAGTTTAGAGGCAAAAAATTAGGTGTCTTGCAAAGGAGATGGAGATTCAGGGACTCAATGATTGGACAAAGCTTCTACAGTCACAGACAGGCAAAAGTGTGATTTGCAGCTCTTTGTTGAGTATTAGGCAAAATTCTCTTGCTGTTTCTAGTGTCTGGTGGAGAGTCCAGTTTAGAGAGCTCTTGAGAGTATATTCTGTGTAATATTCCTCTCTCTCACATCCGAAATTCCACCCACTTATAAAAACTGGTATGGTTATAAAGTTGATAGAATATGAGTACATCTGTTACCAGCTGACTTTCTTTTTCTTTTTCCTCTTTTTTTTTTTTTTTTTTTTTTTTTTTTTTTTTTTTTTTTTTTTTTTTTTTTTTTTTGGTTTTAAAATTAATTAAATAGAAGACCGCCTTGGTCTCCCAAAGTGCTGGGATTATAGGCTGAGCCACTGCTCCCAGCCAACTGTTTCAATTGGACAAAAAGTGGTAGATTCAGATATTTTCTGGAGTGTTTTAGCACATAAAGTCTGTCACACAAATGCAATCAGCTTCTGAGATCTCACAAGCTATTTCTGTGAGCCCACTATTAGCCAGACAAGACTAAGTTTGGAGAAAGCCAGGCTCTTGAAACAGCTGTAAATCATCTAGTAGAAAAAAAGTGGAGTTTTGGCTGGGCACAGTGGCTCACGCCTCTAATCCCAGCACTTTGGGAGGCCTAGGCAGGCGGATTCCTTGAGGTCAGGAGTTCAAGACTAGATTGACCAACATGGGGAAACCTGTGTCTACCAAAAATACAAAAATTATCCGGGCGTGATGGTGCATGCCTGTAATCCCAGCTACTCAGCAGGCTGAGGCAGGAGAATTGCTTCAACCCGGGAGGCAGTGGTTGCAGTGAACCGAGATAGAGCCACTGCACTCCAGCCTGGGCGACAGATCAAGATTCCGTCTCAGAAAAAAAAAGCAAAAAAGTGGATTTTGGCAAATGTTTGTATATATGTAGCATGAGTAAAAACAATATTGCCATGAAATTTTAAAATCGTGAGTTCCAGGCAGGGCAAGGTGGCTGACACCTGAAATCCCAGCACTTTGGGAGGCTGGGGCGGGTAGTTTGCTTGAGATCAGGAGTTTGAGACCTGCCTGGGGAATATAGCTAAAACCAGCCTCGACAGAAAAACACAAAAAGTTGCCAGGCATGGTGGCAGGCACCTGTAGTCCCAGCTACTTGGGAGGTTGAGGCAGGATAATCGCTTGAGCCTGGGATGCAGAGGTTGCAGTGAGTCAAGATCACACCACTGCACTCCAGCCTGGATGACACAGTGAAACTCTGTCTCAAAAAAAAAAAATCATGATTTCCTTTAATAAATCAACTAATTAATCATTATTAATCATGCTTTATGTGCCTAGTACAGTTAAAATATAGGGAGAAAATCATGATATGATTCTTATCCAGAATTTGCTTATACGGGGACAAAAACCAGGTACACTTAAAAATTAGTCAGTGAAAAAATATAAATATTTAAAAGTTAAAGCTTCAAAACATCATCTTGTATGCAATAAATATAATTTTATCTGTAAAAAAAAAAAGATGTCAAGTATAAAAATGTAGCGAAAGTAGACAGCACAGACTGGGGAAACCAGGCCAGTTATATGTGTGCATCGTAGCATTCCAGACAGCACAGCATGCACGGTATAGAATTCTGATTACATTCCAAGCAGTGTTTTATGAGGGGTGCTGACTCTAAGTGTCCTTGGTGTGTAACCTTGGGAATGACATGTAACCACTCTGTAAACGGGAGCTATTGTGAGTAAATAAGAGAGTAGGTAACTGTAAGAATGTCAGGAATTGCTGGGTAAGGTGTGAGATGATGCTTCAACTCTAAAGACCCCAGAAGCTTGGGGACAGGATGAAAGATTCATATTTGGGATTCTAATAATTAGAATAATTGGGAATAGAATGAGTTGGTTTTTGTTTGAGATATTTTTCAGAAATAAAGCCGGAATTTTCTCATATGGTTGAGGGTGATGATGACTTCTATGATCCCTCCCAGCTTTGAAATTCCCAGATATATAAATCAAACTTGCAGTCATAAAGGGTAAATGTAGGCCCCAAAGAGCATGTTACAGGTGGGTGTTAGGCTGGAAAGAGAGTCCTGGGGCTCTTTTTGGATCCTAATAATAGATGTTCCAGAGAACATCTCTAATTTTAGGACATGTTTCTACACAATGCTTTGCTTGAATGAATTGAGGTGAGAGCCTACCACTTCTTTCCCCATTCCCAATCCTGTAGGTACAGAGGGGAGATTTCTGGAGAAGTGAATGGATATCTGTGAATTATTACAAAGCCAGCTCTGTAGTGGGTTCAGCTGCTTTGTAGAAGAGGCATTAATCTGACACATGAGATGATCAGCATCTCTTTCACCACCATCATCATAGGCCAAGCTACCACCATCCTGAACCACTTCAATAGCTTTCTAAATAGCTCAGCTAGGTTCACTCTGGCTCACCTCTGATGAGTTCTCCACTCAGCGATTTGAAAGGCCTTTCCAAAACACAAATCTGATGGCTTCCATGCTCCTTGGATAAAGACAAATTCCCAACATGGCCTATAAGGCCCTATATGGTGTGGCCTTTTCTACCATTCTAGCCTCATCTTGCTCTCCATCCTTTCACTGGCCTTCTTTCTATTCCCATCCTGGGGCAAATGCTTTTCTCCACCCTCATCCCCATGTGATCTCCTACTCGTACTTTAGATATCAGTCCCAGGTCACCTCCTCAGAGCAGCCTTCCCTGACCAGACTGAAGCTCCCTATTATAGGCCCTAATTTGGCCATGAAATGTGACTCTTCTTTATTGCACCTGTCAAAATTACGATTTTACATTTCTTATGATTATTTGATTTGCAGTTTAGTGCGTTTATGTCTATCTCCCCCTAAGTCTTCAAAAGGACAGGCCTGTATGCCTGGGTAGTGACCATTCTATCCCGACTCAGCACACTGCCGGGCACATAATTGGCACACAAAAATTGCTGTTGAGTGAATGAACAAATGTAATTTATGATAATATTTTCAAATATCCTATAAAATAAAGCTGATTAAAAAGTTAAATGACTTTAGAAAACCCTTTATACCATATTATTTAAGCCTCCATCTCTACCCCACACACATATTTTCATATAAAAGACTGGCAAATCCTGCAGTAAAGAAGCCCTCAACTTAACCACAGGTTATAAACCAGGACATACTGTGGGCAACACTTTACTCAAGAGAGACAACTTGGATGCCCATGCTAGTGCTGTTTCTGAAAGTAGCAAATGGCAGGAAGAGTTCTGAATGTGTATTAAAAGAAACTTCCCAAGAGTTGGCTGGACACAGTGGCTCACGCCTATAACCCCAGCACTTTGGGAGGCCAAGGTGAGCAAATCACTTGAGGTCAGGAGTTTGAGACCAGCCTGGGTAATGTGGTGAAATCTCGTCTCGTCTCTACTAAAAATACAAAAATTAGCCAGGTGTGGTAGTGCATGCCTGTAGTCTCAGCTACTCAAGAGGCTGAGGCACAATAATTGCTTGAACCCACGAGGTGGAGGTTGCAGTGAGCAGAGATCATGCCACTGCACTCCAGCCTGGGTGACAGAATGAGACTTTGTCTCAAAAAAAAAGAAAGGAAAAAAAAAAAAAAGAAATTTCCCAAGAGTTAAGCTGCCTTGGGAATCCAGGCATGTCTAGGATTTAGGATGTTTTGAATGGAGCCACAAGCACAAAAAAGTTCTACAAAAAGAGCCTCACAATTAGTTGAAGAATGGACTCTACTCAGCGCGGTAGGTATGCAGCACAGTAAACATTTGTTTGATGAATGAATGAAGAGAGAAAGTAACTGGGGTGATCACACCTAGGTGGTCTCATCTTTTCATAGAAAGGACAGTTATATTGTTAAATCTAAAATTCAAGTGTGAGTAGAAGATCTTTACATGTGGGCTTTTTAACTGGCTAGGCAGTGAAGAGTGAGGCATAACAAACCCGCAGCATTTAAAGGAACTTACATACCTAGTAACTGGATTTGAAGAGGTACCGTGAACACTCTGAAGACAATGAAATACTGATCTTGTTGGTTTTCTTATAAATGTTTTGTCCATTGCTGCCAATGCTAGGACTTAATATTCAGTTTTGTCAAATCCATGTTTTTCTTTTTCACCCCAGTGCTTATCCTCCTTGATCTTTTGGTATCTTTTTGACAGTGTCACAACTCCTCTTTCTTTAAATTCTTTCTGCCCTTGTTTCTGTGACCTGCACTTTCAATACAATTTTATTTCAACCAATATTTATTGATCATCTATGCTGTGCCAGATGCTGGACTATCATCATTGGTTTATTAACTCATTCATCAACATTAATTGAGTTCCTACTGGGTATTGGGTACTGTACCAGTGACGGGAAACAAAGATGAACAAGATATAGTCCCTGACCTAAGAGGCTGCACAATGTAGTGGAGGAGTCAGCCAACTATCTCATGAAGTGGTGAGGCTGTTATAGAAGTGCACACTCAGGGCCTGCGGCCCTCAGAGAAGGAATCAGTTACTTCGCTATGGGAGTGGGGGTACATTGCATAGCACCGAGCCTGCCATGTGCTAAATTTTTTTTTTTTTTTTTTGAGACGGAGTTTCACTCTTATTACCCAGGTTGGAATGCAATGGCGCGATCTCGGCTCACCGCAACCTCCACCTACTGGGTTCAGGCAATTCTCCTGCCTCAGCCTCCTGAGTAGCTGGGATTACAGGCATGCACCACCATGCCCAGCTAATTTTTTGTATTTTTAGTAGAGACGGGGTTTCACCGTGTTGACCAGGATGGTCTCGATCTCTTGACCTCGTGATCCACCCGCCTCGGCCTCCCACATTTAACTTACACATTTTACTCACATGCATATTTAAAACCACATTACATAAAATATTAATTTATAGATTCAATTTTATATATTTGTATATCAAGAATGAGAATAAAATTATTGTTTTCATAATACAAATTACAGAGATTAAAGCTCAAACTAGGAAAGCTGGATAAATATAGGTAAATATAGAAGCTCCAGAGGTTCTGCAGCAAAGCCATTGTCCTCTTGAGGGTGATGTTAAAATTTTTATGTTTAACACAAGGGGGTGTGGAATAATGAGTTTTGAAGGACTGTATTCTGTAGGTTAAGGCTTGTCAACTGGCGTCAGAATCAAAATCAAAATCAAAATCACCTGAGGATCTTGTTGTTTTTTCATTTTATTTTATTTATTGTTTTGGCTTTTGTTTTTGGGGTCTTGTTTTAAAAAGCAAATTCATGGACCCTATGTGTCACTTAACAATAGGGGTACATTCTGAGAAAAGCATCATTAGGTGACTTCATCATTCTACAAACATCATAGAATGTATTTAAATAAACCCAGATAGTATAGTCTACTACACACCTAGGCTACATGGATAGCCTATTGCTCCTAGGCTACACACCTGTACAGCATGTTAATGTACTAAATACTGCAGGCAATTGTAACACAGTATTTGTGTATGTAACATTTAAACTTAGAGAAGGTATAGCAAAATACAGTATTATGATCTTATAGGACCATTGTCCTATAAGACAGTGTTCATCATTGACCAAAATGTCATTATGTGGCTCATGACTCTGTGTGTGTGTGTGTGTGTATATGTATATGATTTAGTATAAGGAATTGGCTTATGCAATTATAGAAGCTGAGAAGACCCAAGATCTGCAGTCAGCTAGTTTGAGACTCAGAAGAGCTAATAATGTTAGTTTCTTTCTTTCTTTCTTCCTTCCTTTCTTTCTTTCTTTCTTTCTTTCTTTCTTTTTTGAGATGGAGTTTCACTCTTGTTGCCCAGTCTGGAGTGCAATGGCACGATCTCAGGTCACGCCAACTTCTGCCTTCTGGATTCAAACGATTCTCCTACTTCAGCCTCCTGAATAACTGGGATTATAGGCCTATACCACCACACCCATCTAATTTTTTGTGTTTTTAGTAGAGATGGGGTTTCTCCATATTGGTGAGGCTGGTCTCTAACTCCCGACCTCAGGTGATCCACCCTCCTTGGCTTCCCAAAGGGTTGGGATTTCAGGCGTGAGCCACCGCACCTGGCCCCGGTTTAGTTCCATTCTGAAAGTTGGAAGGCTTGAGACCCAACAAGAACCCATTTTTTAGTTTAGGCAGGAAAAGACACGTGTGCAGCTCAAGTAGTCAAGCAGAAGGAGTTTCCTTTTACTCAGCCCTTCTGTTCTATTTAGATCTTCAATTGATTAGATGAGGTTTTCCCACATTAGGGAGGGCAATCTGCTTTACTCAGTCTACTAGGTCAAATGTGAGATGTTTGTTTGTCTGTTTGTTTTGAGACAGAGCCTCACTCTGTCACCCAGGCTGGAGTGCAGTGGTATGATCTCAGTTCACTGCAACCTCTGCCTCTCAGGTCTAAGCGATTCTCGTGCCTCAGCCTCTTGAGTAGCTAGGATTACAGACACCTGCCACCATGCCCACCTGGATAATTTTTGTATTTTTTGTAGAGATGGGGTTTCCTCATGTTGGCCAGAGTTTCAAACTCTTAGGCTCAAGTGATCCACCCGCCTTGGCCTCCCAAAGTGCTGGGATTACAGATGTGAGTCACTGCACCCAGCCAAATGTTAGTCTTAGCCAGAAACACCCTCACAGGCATACTCAGAATGTTTGACCAAATGTCTGGACACCCTGTGGCTCAGTCAAGTTGATACAAAAATCACACAGATGGTTACTGATGCATACTGTCCATCGCATACAGCTAGTGCTCGACTTATGACCATGATTGGTTCCAACAGACCGGTTGTAACACGATTTGGTCGTAAGTTGAGTAGGCTATATGCACGCGGAGATGGTAGTGCTGCTGGAAGGTCCACACTGTCCTATGCCCAGCTGGGCAACGTTTGCGCTGCCAGACACAGAGCAGTCGTGGTTAGGGATTGTGGTCGTAAAGTCGAATGGTCGTAAGTTGCATAGGTTGTAAGTCGATCGATACCTGTAGATGGTTTTGGATGCACATTAAAACCTGAGGACTTTTACAGGCCATTAGGGACCATGGAAGGTTTTCAAGAAAAGTGATTTGATCAAATTAG